CCCCCGTCCCCCCCCAAACCCGAACACTGGCCCCCCCCAATTGCCCCGACACTCTGCTCCCCCAATCCCCCCAATCTTCCTCAACCCCCCTGACCCCCTCAATCTCTCCTGACTCCCCCAATCTCCCCACGTTCTCCTGACCCTCCAGTCTCCCCTGACCTCCAGTCTTCCCTGCTCTCCCCCTCCTCCCTGACCATCCAGTCTCCCTGCTCTCCCCTGATCTCCGTGCTCCAGTACTTTTCCAGCCTCGCCAACTCAGCACCCTCCACTCGATCCCCTCCAAGCGGCGAGGATGCTGGTGAGGCCAAAGGCTGGCTGAGAGCCCCCAGGCAGCCCCCTGGCACTGAACCTCCACGCTGGGGTCCCAGCACACATTGCCCTGCTGGAGCCAGCCTGGCTGCTGCCTTGGGGCCCCCGGCCCCAGCTAGGCTGTGGGCCGGGGACCCGGCCCCTGCAGCAAAACAGCCAGCTCAAAAACACAGAAATTAGTCCCCAAATATTCTGAGGGAGAAGAAAAACAGCCTTGGAGAGGGGTCAGCTCTATTGCCAAGCATGCAAAGACGCTTGCAGCATCCCTCCCGGCTGCTCCCTTAAAATCCCCCTGGACTGTTATATTTGCCCCAGAAGCATTTTTGCCTTTTTGCCTTAATATTAACACAGGACTGGTGTGACTATGAGAGCTATGAGTGGAGGGTCGGGGAGAGGCAGTGCGTGCAGGTGCTCCAAGCCGGTCTATCCCATCTGGAGGTGATGCCAGCCTTTCCCAATGTTTATGATCTGAATTAATTTGCTTTGGGTTTTTTAGTTTCTCAGGGAGACATTTATGGGGTGCATTAACAGACCATCCACTGTCCTCCTCATGCTGGTGGAAAAACCATGTGCAGGCTGCGGAGCTGGTGGGCACCAGGGCATTTGGGTCCCCACAGTTCCTTTCAGCTCCATAGGGACCTGCCAGTGGCTCACCTGCCTTCCCGTGACCTGTCCATGGTGTCAAACTGTTTCCGCAGCCACCTGGGGAAGGGAGAGAAGAGATGGTGTTCAGCCCAGGAGATTGAACTGTGCGGGTGTTCATCCCCCTAGACCCCCATATAGGGCATCGGGGAGCAGCACAACTGGAGCCATGGGTCCCTCCTCACCTCTCGATCTGCAGCGGAGTCTGGGCTTTCTGGGTGTCTGCCACTAGCCAATTGAGGCCGGTTATCCATAGGTTGATGTCTTCCTCACAGAAAGCTGGAGGAGGAAGAGGAGGGCAGTAAGGCTGTGCTGGGGCTGAGCAAGGCCAGGATGCCTGATCCCAGGGATTGCTAACCCAGCTCCTGAGGCAGATGCCTCAAAAGCAGGAACGTCTCCTGGCCTCTTTGCATTGCCACGTCCCAGGCTAGGGTATGGAGATGGATGGGAAAAACTGAGGTGGGTGGGAAAGAAGCCACAAACCAGCCACGCTGAGCGTCCGCAGCCTGAAGTCCATCCCGTAGAGGATGATAAAGCACATGGTGAAGTCAAGCTTGCGAGCGTCCTCCGGGTAACGTTCGAAGTCCCGTGAGTTCTTTCCCAGGCGGATCTCCTTTATCTCCCGAATGTCGACTGCAGGGAGAGAAGGACATGGGCCCATCCCCTTTGACCCTGCCATCCAGGAGGGTGAGAGCAGGACAGGGGGCTGTGGCAGTGCCAGGGCACCCGTGCGCTCGGGGCTCTGGGATGCTGTTGAGAAGCGGAGATGCTGCCAGTAGAGTGGATGCAAAGGGGGATGCTCTGGGATGGGGGACAGCAATGGAGTGGCTGGCACACAGGCCAGAGGGGGACATCGGTGGGGTGCAGAAACGATGGGGGCAGGATGGACTGGTGCCCAGAGGGCAGGGCCTCGGCCCTTCGCAGCGCCGCTGGCATCCGCTTCGCAGTCTCTGGGACAGTAGATGGCCCCCGGAGCTGCGGTGCCGGGCGTTGGTGCCTGGCTGCTCCTCCCGTATGTCCTCTGGGGAGCCGTGTCTGGGGAGCCGTGTCACCAGGACAGGGTGCTCCTGGGACACTACCCATGGGTGTATGATGGCACTGCAGGTGCCATGGCCACGTGTCCTCCAGGGGACTGTGTCCCCAGAATGGGCCATCGCTGTGGCACTGCCCATGGGTACATGATGGCACCATGGGTGCCATGTGTCCCCTGGGGAGCCATGACCCCAACTGTGCTGTGTCCCCACAGCACTGCCTGTGGGTGCATAACAGCACCATGGGTGCCACATGTCCTCTGGGGAGCCGCGTCCCCAAGACAAGGTGTCTCCATGGCACTACCCATGGGTGCATGGTAGCACCGCAGGTGCTGCGTGTCCTCTGGGGTGTCATGTAATGCAGCCCAGCAGCAGGGTGTCCCCCTGTGCGGGTGGCTGTGCCATGGGCCAGGGTGGTTGGGTGCTGCTCTGCGCGCTTTGTCCAAGCTCTGAGCTGTCCCACCAGCATATCTCTGGGTGCTCTCACTTGTCTTCTCTGCTCAAAGGCGAATCCTGCTCCAGGACAGTCTGAGCTCATCGTTTAATTGAAGACATCTGCCCAAAGGTGGCAATTTCGAACCTCGGGGCCTCGACCGCAGGGCGTTGCTTTCCTGCCCGCCCTGCACTCTCATTATCCTCGCTATATAAAGTCCCTGCCGGCGAGGCAGGAGGGCTGGGTTTCCGGGCTGGACTCTTCCTCAGGGCTGCGATGCTGGAAGATATTTCCAGCCACTGGTTTTACAGAGCAGGCCCATCCCACCATGCCGGACAGTGGCAGCATAACAAAAATAATGTTACGAATATTAGTAATATTAGCCAGTGTCGGCCCTCTTACACAGGGCATCACCCCTGTGCAGCTCTGCTCTCCAGGGAGCCAGGGCCGAGAGCCGCCACCACCGGAAAGAGCTTTGTGCAGCCAAGGCCGTGATAACGAACGTGCGTAGTGGGGAGAGACAGCCGGCGCAGGTTATTGTGGCGCAGGAAATGGATCATTTCCCGGAGATTTTCCAGCAAAGCTCCGGCTGGGTTTCCTACACCGGCCGGCGGCGGGGAAGGGCGCAGGGGTGCAGGACCGGGCGAGGGCTGCTCCCAGGCGCCGATGCTCGGGGCTGTCTGCCAGCTCTGGAAACGCTCCCCTGTCGCAAGGCACCAACTTCTGCCTAGTCAAAGGTGGGAGAAGGAAAGGCCAAGCACGTGGAGGAATAAGGGCTAGGGAAGAAATCAGGCTGCTTTAGCAGGTTAAGTGAAAGCCGTAGGGAGGAAGGATGGGGAGTCGAGTGGTTTTGCCTGGAGGAAGGGCTCCAGAAAACACTGGCGACTTTATAAAACCTTCCCTCCCTGCATGAATGGAAGGCAGCTTTCCAGAAACCAGAGAGGTATTTTATCACTTTACAGAGAACTGGTGCACCGGAGGGGTTTGCACCCGCGCCGTGCACTTTTTCTTTGGAAACAAACTGCAGCCGGGAAATGAAATCCACCCACACTGTCACCATACCTGGCACGTAAACCCCACACCAGCGCTGCTCCAGGGCTGTACTGCGGCCCCGGAGCAAACCTGTATTTGCGTCCTGAGTGCAAACGGGCAGATACTTGGGGCTGACTGAGCTTCTGTAGGTTGGAGGATGGTGGCTCATGACCGAACCTGCCCGCCTGCAGAGGCAGAGCCTTCTCCCGGCACTGGAGAGGGGTGAGAAGCCAGGGTCTGGCAGTGCCTGGGGCTCTGCCGATGCTCAGGGGTACCCCGAGGGGAAACCGGCCTGCATGTTCCACTTAGGGAAACCCCATGTCCCTGTGCTGCCAGGATCCGGCCTCCGACAAAGTCTCTGGGCGCTGCAAAGACTAAAACGCCCGGAGAGATGAGCCACGGGCGAGGGAGCGGAGCTGGAAGGCGCCTCTTTTCTCTGCGCCGAGCAGCGCGTGCGGCACAATGCAACGCATTGGCGGCTTCCTGGAAACAACATCTGCAGCGGATTTGCAGCGATCATGTCAGAACTATGTCTCCAAACTCCTCCCCGCATTGTCTCAGGGGTCCCAGCTATTAAAACACTCTGGAATCCAGTTCCAGCTGCGAAAATCCTTCTTCCCCTTGTAATGCAAAGGCAGCACCAGCATGTTACAAAGAGCACTTTAAATACGTGGGCAGCGTGGCCTGCGCGGGCAGGTAATGCAGGGCCAGCTGCTGGAAAGGGTCTGGCCGGCAGCTTTTATCAGCACTAAAGGAGCCCTGGGGCTTCCTTCGTGCATTAGGAGAAAAACGAAGCGAAGTGGCCAAGAGGGAATTGCCGTGCTCAGAAATTATGCTGCCTCCGGGCAGAGCTGGAGCGGGTAGCGGGTAACACGTGCCATCTCCCCCCAGGTTCGCCTTGGCCTCTTTCCCCTCTTGCGGGACGTGGGGGAGCTCGGGGACGCCGCTCGGACCGTGTCGTGCAGAGGGTCACATCCCGGAGGGCTCCCTCGTGCTCTTGTGAGGCTGGTTTCAGACCCAAAATGAAACGCCGGTCCAGTGGCGTTAAACCACATCTGTAGTTTCTCCTCCCCAAATCGTCCTATTTATAACTGCCACGAGTTAGCGAGGATGGAGGTGCAAGTCCCAATTCACCATCACCATTGCAAAACCGCAGTAATCCTCCCCGATGCGCCGGGGCTCAGCCCGCGGCGTGTTTATCCCACCACGGGCTGCAAACGGCCTCTCCGAAACGCCAGGAGCGGTGCAGGGGAGGGAAACAGCTTAAAACCCAGGCTCCGAAGCTGGGCCGGGCCTTGCTAACCAAGCCAGCCTTTCCGAGGCGCTCTCCCACCGCAGCCCAGGAGATTTTCCGAGCAGAGATTGGAAACTGCTCTATTTTTAGCGAGGGTTTTCCTGTGCCCTTTCCCTAGGCTGGGAGACGAGAAAAGGCCTGCTTTTGCCTATGCCGCGTGCGCCAAAGCCTCCCCTGCCCCAGCCAAGCACCCGCGTGCAGCCGCTGCCTGATGCTCACCCTTGGGTTTGCCCCAGCTGCCTTCACCCCTATTTCTTTTATTTCTTGCAAAGATTCCCTTTTGATAGTTTTCAGCCTGCCTGCTGGGGGACAGGGTCTGCCGAGGGCGCCTGGCTGGGAACCTGCTGGGTGGGAAGAGTTTAATTTTGGGGGTAACGCAGGACAACACGTTAGCTTAGCTCCTGACCTTGGCTGCTGCCCCAGCCGGCGTTTTAGAGCGTCTCCTTGCCGTTCGGCTGAAAGGGACCCCTCCACGTGGACGGGTGGGAGGACACGCGTCTATCATCCCGTTAACGAACCGTGAAATTGTCTCTGACACCATGGGGGCTTCCCTAGGAGAGCCGGTATCCCAGCCCTGGTCCCGCCGGCCCCGTAACAGAGACATCACCACTGACGGTCGCCCCGTTAATCCCCTCTCAAGCCGTTCGCCTCTTTGACGGGTGGATTTAAAACGGCCTGGGCAGGCGTGAGGTCGGGCAGCAGGGCGGGAGCGAGACGCCGGAGCAAGGACAGGAGCGTTTCGCCAGCCCCGGTGGTGCCGGTGGGATGTCCCTGCTGGCTTGCCACAGGGCCAACTCGAGGTCCCGGTGCTCCTGTAAAATTTCCCCCGTCCTAGGCAAAGCTGGCTGTGGGATTAGATAGAGGGATTATGTCATTTCTGGGGAGATTTTCCTTTTTTCCCCTCCTGGATGACCTCAGAGGATGCTCACTAGGTCCCAAATGGCGATTTGGACCATCGCGTGGGAGAAGCCAGACCCTGAGGACGCTGGCTGGGTCCGGAGGCTGGGATGCTCTGCAGTGCCAGTGGGGAGACCGAGACGGTCATGCAGGGTGACGTGTCTGCTGTGAGCCCACAGCAGAGGGGAAGACAACGCCGAGACCCTGACCAAGCTCTGTACAAATAAAACAGCTGGAAATATGTTATTTCCGTGAGCAGAACGTGAGCTTGCTTTCTGCAAGGGCCAGGGATGTCCCAGCCGGTGGGCTGCGGATGGGCAGGCCAGGATCCTCGCTCCCTGGTGGCCATGGGACACGTTGCCCTTGGTTTAGAGGAGATGCCCTGCCAGGCTGCAGCAGCCGCTGGGGCTGGGGCTCATCCCAAATGCAGCTAGAGCCGATGGGACCATATTTCCACCATCTCCAAATCCCCTTGCTTGGTTCATGTTCTTACTCGAGGCATGACACCGCCTCTCCAAAAAAGCCCGCTGGGTACAGGTGCCTCAGCCTTCCTCCCCTTGCCTTTCCCTGCTCCTCCTCCGTGCATGAAGCTCTGCTGCAGCGTGGCACTGGGGCTCATCCCAAATGCAGCTAGAGCCGATGGGACCATATTTCCACCATCTCCAAATCCCCTTGCTTGGTTCATGTTCTTACTCGAGGCATGACACCGCCTCTCCAAAAAAGCCCGCTGGGTACAGGTGCCTCAGCCTTCCTCCCCTTGCCTTTCCCTGCTCCTCCTCCGTGCATGAAGCTCTGCTGCAGCGTGGTGGGGGGATCTACTTCTCCGGAGGGTTCACGGCGAGTTTGCCTCCTGCGCTGAGCAGGTACGGGCAAGTGCGGATCCTGCTCGATGCTAATCTTGGCGCGCAACCCTCCTTCCCGGCTCACAGCCCGCCTCGAAGCCTCGCGACGATTCGCAGCCCACCAATCCCCAGTCCACCGCTTTGCCGGCAGCCCGTGAAAACCGGGGTAACCTCGCAGCTACGGCTCGTGGGTCAGTCTCAGGGCCGGCCCTCCGCACCTCTGCACAGGCAGCACGTGGGAGCTGCAGGCCAGGGCGAAAGTCCCCCCGGCTTCGCCGTGCCAGGATTGCGCTCCATCGCGCACATCCGGCAGGGCAAAAATTAGCTGCGCTTCGGAAAATTTAGGCCTAACTCTTTCCGTAGGTCAGTTTTGGCCACTCGAGTCGAAAGCGTGCCCCGCCGGCCCAGCGGCACCTGCCCCGTGCTTTGCAAGGGGGAAGCATTGCAGG